TCAGCTCAATGACACGTGCTTATCCAGCTGCGCCACTTGAGCTGATGTTTTTACAGCCACTTTTAACTAAATGTAAATAGACACCCCGTATTTTTTATTCCATAGTAAGGGCAATTCATACAATACATTTAAACTGAGCTACTTTAATACCATCTCCGAACTTTCTACCACGACTCTGCTGTTCTTCGGCTGGTTCTTCCTGTATACGTTGATTGACAGATGTCTCGTCCAGTCAGCGGTGAGTAATCCCAAACCAATGGCGCTGTCTCAAACTATACCTACCTCTTCCGGTTTGTCTGATTTGTCTTTGTGTTTTCTGACTTGTTAATTTGTTTTCGGATTTGTCGTTGTGTTTTCTGACTTATTTTGTTTTTGAATTTGTCATTGTGTTTTCTGACTTGTTATAATGTTTTCTGAATTGTTGTTGTGCTTTCTGAATTGTTATTTTGTTTTTTAGACTTGCATTTGCGTTTGTAATTTGTTATTTTGTTTTCAGAATTGTGATTTGTTTAGCACTTCTCGGCCACCGTAGATAAGCGATATTAACGCCGTTGTTTACAATACAACCGGAGCACATGCCGCTGAGGTGAGGGGCGGGACGGTTTTGCCAATCACAACACACTGGGCTAGCTAACCAATCAGAGCCCATCACCTATTTCTGAGGGTGGGGCTTCATAAAAGCAGGAAATGATCAGCACGTTTCTCAGAGAAGGCACAGAGTGGTGTGGAATAAAGGTAAATTATGTGAAAAATAATGTTGTTGTTTTTTTAAACGAAGCATTAACACATGTTAGACTGCACCCCATAAACACAATCAAGCCTTGAAAAAAAAGAACCACCCCTTTAATACAATTTTATGTTGATATTTTCATATTATTAATGCTGTTTATTTATATATGTATGTGTATACGTATGTATGTACTGTATATATAAGTATGCCTGTATGTATGTATGTTCAACTGCTTGTTAACACAAATATCTAATTAATTAGCCAATCACATGGCAACTCAATGCATTTAGGCATGTAGACATGGTCAAGACGTTCAAACCGAGAATCAGAATGGGGAAGACAGGGGATTTAAGTTACTTTGAACATGGCCTGGTTGTTGGTGCCAGACGGGCTGGTCTGAGTACTTCAGGAACTGCTAGTCTGCTGGGATTTTCATGCACAACCATCTCTAGGTTTTACAGAGAATGGTTCAGAGAAATGTCCAGTGAGAGGCAGTTCTATGGGCGAAAATGCCTTGTTGATGCCAGAGGTTCGAGGAGAATAGCAAGCCTGATTTGAGCTGATAGAAAGGCAACAACCGAGATATGCAGTAGAGCACCTCTGAACGCACAACACGTCGAACATTGAAGCAGCAGCAGAAGACCACACCGATACTCCTGTCAGCTAAGAATGGGAAACTGATTTCCAACAGACCCGGAAGTATGTTTATTGGGTAATTACACCAATTCCAATATTACTCAAGATCATGCCATAAGACTCACAGAAATTCTACTAATAATTGCTAAGAAGTGCATTGCAATGAAGTGGAAATGTGATACTGTTATTCCCATAAGTCTATGGCTATCTGAGGTTAATAACTGTATACCCTTGGAAAAATTAACATACTGGCTAAGAAATAAAAGTAAAGTATTTTATACAAATTTGGCAACCCCTTTTCCGTTATATGGAAGACACTTCAATAGACCGGATGGATTCTCTTTTCGAGTGAGGTTTTACACAGTAATAACTATGATATCCTGTATCATCCCAATTTTTTATGTTTTATTTTTTTTATTTTTTTTTTTATTTTTTTTCCTTTTTGTCTTGTATTGTCCTGTCTTGTGCAAAAAGTTGTGTTTTGTATTTTTTGTTTATATTACAGTTCAAAAGCAAAAATAAAATATTCAAAAAAAAAAGAATGGGAAACTGAGGTTACAATTCGCACAGGCTCACTAAAATTGGACACTACAAAAGTTGCCTGGTCTGATAAGCCTGGATTTCACATTCTGAGACATTCTGATGGTAGGGGCAGAATTTGGGGTAAACAACATGAAAGCATAGATTTGAAGTACCACTGCCGCCAAAAGAAATTGATACTTTTACTAATATGCATTGCTCCTCGGAATGAACAGGCCTACTAAGGACCGCTGAGATTTTATAGGGCCTCTTTAATGTCACGTCACAAACTAGAGATTATGTGAGTTTTGCCCACATCAGCACTGTAAATTACTTACACATTGATTCTGCTTGTGTGTAGACAAAACAAGAGCTCATGTGAAGAGAAGAAAAGTAAAGAGGAATGTGTGTGTGTGTGTGGTGCCTTTTTTATCATTTGAGTCACTTATCAAAAGTTGCTAAATGTTGCCAAATAAATTTTTTAAAATAACGAAATTTGTTGTTGCTAGGTGCTTTTGGAAGAAAAAGTTGCTAGGGTAGTCTGAAAAGTTGCTAAATTTAGCAACAAAATTGCTAAGTTGGCAACACTGTTTGAGTCAGCTTCGGGTTGGTATTTTTCTGGAACTTGGCAACCCTGCCTCCACACCTCTATGTGGCGGTAGCGCGCTGTTCTGCTCGGCGTCCATTCAGTTTATTGGTGTAGATTGATTCGTGACAGCAGCGAGAGCTTCATTTTTCTTCCTCAAACACTCAAACATCTACATTCAAGATGAAAGATGTCATCGGATACCTCAAACAACAGCAGAGCAAGAGCCCGACGCCTGAGATGGCTTCGGAGTGGCACTCACTGGAGGATCTGTACAACAGAAAGTATGAATGAAGTGTGCTCAGTGTGTGAGTGTGGGCTAGCTGAGTCATTTAGCATGCTAAGCTAAAGGCGACTTATATTAGTTATACAAATGCATATAATCTACCTAGTCCACTTGGAATGTGTTTAAAGACAGTTTTGGCCCTTTATTTGCGTGTTGGTTTTATATTTGTTGTTGCAGTTATTGTAAAATGAGCTCTGGCGTTTAAATGTGGCTGTTTAAGTCATTGCTGAAGTGAGATGTCTAGTCTGTACTGGTGTTGTTGTTTTCAGGTGTTTCATCTGAGATCAGATGTATTGAGGGTTTACAAAGTTATGTAGTAAATATATTTTTAATGTAATATACTGCTTTAAATCATGCCTTATTCATTTACACGTTGTAAATCTGACAAATCAGACTTAAAATATCAGCCCATCAGTTTATACATAGATAGATGTTTAGATAGATAAATAGGTAGGTTTATATATAAATGGGTTGATAGACAGATAAACAGATTCATTTACATGTATATATTTCTTTCTCTTTTGACAGATTGTGGCATCAGTTGACTCTGAAGTTGACCGTCTTTGTGCTGGACCCTTATTTCTCCAAAGGGGACACTCTCATTCAGGTACAGGATCAGATCAGGATTCAGCAGCATTTGCACACGTTAGAAATGTGTTGTGAAACCTTTTAAAAGTTTTTATTTGCTTTCCACAGCTCTATGAAAACTTCCTCAGTGATTTCGAACACAGGTAAGAGGCGATTCTGATTAGATTTACCCATGCGTCTAATAACTTGTAATAATAATAATTCAGTCGGTCATTTTAGAACCTCAGTTCAATGACCATGTTCACACTGTAAAGTTTCAGGAGTGACAACCACATTTAAATATGTGTGAGTGAATCCTCTAAATAATGGTTTTGTGTGTACAGAACTCACTCTTGAAATTGCTAAGAGTGACACCATGGTAACCATAGCAACGTTCTGGCATCTAGCACGTTTGGCATCTGCT